GCACAGCAAGGCAGGTATATTACTCAGAAATGTTTTCACTGCGTAACACTTCAAACAGGCAGCTCTTCTGCCTTGCTTCTAGTGAAAATGTGTCTTTATTGACGGTTGCACTTTTTGAAAGCTTGTGTTCAGAAAGAGAGAGCCCAGCAAAAGTTCCTATTTTGTTTGTTTCCACTTCGTGTTAGCTGTGAGCAGTTCTCAGATAAAGACCTGGGAGGAGAAGGAAGGTCACTTCTAGTTCATGTGCTTCTAGTTTATAGATTCACCTCTTGTTAATCTGTAAACTAAAGCTGTTTGATTTTTCTTTTCCTTTCCCATTATCACTTGTGGCAAAAAGATTCTGCCTGGCACTTTTAAACTGTTTTTTTTTTGGTTTTGTTTTTGTTTTTGTTTTTTGGTTTTTTTTTTTTAACTCTTAATTCAAATGTAACAGTTGCACTAGTAAGGTTCTGGTTTGGGCTGAATTACCCCAGATTACCCGATATGCTTCAGACCAGGATCGTTCCATAAAGCCTCTAGCAATGTAGAGTGAGGTTACCAACATTCCTGTGCTCGCATCAGGTGACGTGCAAGGAGAACTAATGCCCCTGATTTAGGTTATACAGCATCTGGAGAGCTGCTTATACCATGGTTGGATATCAGTGATGTTTTGCCTCCAGACACAACATGGAGTACCTGTTCAGGCAGGCATCTTCTGAACGGATAACTGTATCCACACAACATTTACCAGCATTTGTAAGCAAGAACACTGGCAGGTTTTTTTTTTTATTTCATATGCATACTTTGTGCAATGCAAATGGTTTTGGCGTCATTGAATTGTTTTCTAAAGCACCCCTGGGTGCTTTTCAAAGCAGTAACCCTGTCCTTTGAGCTTCCTATTAAGTTGTTTAGCTAATCTGATTGAATGTGTGTGTGTGTTTGGCATGTTTTCTACTCGGATTGAAGCTGAACGTGTTACTTGTATGTGACAATCCTTGCCAGCACACAACTTTCCTTAGTGCCATCAGGTATATAGGCAAAATGATTTTCCCTATGGTGACGTGTGGTTCCACTCTCTCTGTAGGAATGCAGAAAAGTCACAGCTTTTGTGATCTCTATCTGTTCTTCCTGCATCTTCTAAATGAAACCTGTTTGCATTATGACAGTGCTAAGAGACTACAGCTTTCTGCTCTCGGCAGTGCTGATTTTTGAGTCCAGTCATCCTGCACTGCAGATGATGCTCTTTATTACCTCTCCATTTTCAGTTTTTCTCAGCAGCAATAAGTTCTCCTCAGACAGTCTGAGATGTAAGTATTCTCCAGGATGATATAATTTAAAATTCACATAAGCAAACTACTATGTAATGCATTTGTTCATATCCTTAGCTGGAAAGTGCTTCATGTCTACTGAGAAGGAAGCTTTTGTGGTTAAAGCCAATGTACCTGAGTGAGGTTGAGGTCTTGACCTGGCAGTTCGCTATTTTGTGCTTTACAGCTTTTGAGTCACCTTTACAGCACTTCCTTGGCTTCCCTTTTAGATACCTCCTGTTTTACAGTGATTTTCCTGAATATTTGGACTTTTTCATTCATGCTTGAATCTGCAGTATCTCCACCTACAAGTCTATGACAATTAGTAAAGTTGGCCTGGAGTCCCCAAGCTGGTTGCCTTTGGCTCTACTCCCAGCTGTGCTCCAGTGTGGATGGAGGGGAAAGGTGTGGGAGCTGTCCTTCATCATGGCAGTGGTGCAACTTTGTCTTCTTCTACACAAGCTGAAAGCAGCAGAGAAACAACAAGGCCGTGTTTTATGTTAGGTCATTGTTTGCCATGTGCATTCTTTCGCAACTTAATTCACTGTCCTCTATGTACTGCATTTTACCTCACCATGCTTGTAGTTACTCCCAAATGCATGTGTGGAGCTGATTTGATGTCTTTGGCTTGAGTGCTTCCACAGAGCAGTCAAGAAATTGAAGTGAAATTCTGTGCACTTGGTCTTTGTTCCAGGCCAGTTCATTATCAGCAAAAGTTCTTGTCTAGGTAGCTAAACTATAATTAAGTACACAAATAAAATGCTTGGTAGTAAAAGCTCCTACATGAGGATAAGGCTATTTGCAGACTATAATGCCTAAGATGGCCATTAAATGAGAAAGCACCACAGTTGAATTTAAACATGTGAATCATAAAAATTAGCAGCCCCTTCAATTTAAACCCTAGAACCAGCAGCCTTAATTAGCCTTTAGGCTAAGCTTCCAAGTAATTAAACTTGTGCTGGATTTGAGAGGAACAGCTCCAGGCAGTAGTGCAGGCTCCTGTGTTTGAAGGCCTATCCTCAAATGTGCATTATAAAAATAATTAAAAAAATAAGTGTATCTGCAACTTGAGGAGATTACAAAGAATTAAATAATATGAAGACTGTTTCCCTGACTAAAGCCTTTTCTACAGCATGGTGCACACAAAGTCTTCTAATGACACTGCTCAAGAACACAGACTGTTGAGAAATTGCATTTCTAACCACTGGAAGGACAGACTAGGGAGCTTAGAACATTGCCAGCCCAGGTCAGCAGAGCATACAGAGGTTAATCTCAGTGATTGGGATGCACTACAGTTGGGCAATTATAACATGTTAATAAATTTTCCATCAGTTAATTATGCTGCTGTAACTTGTCCTGTGCCTCTTGCCATGGCACTGGGCACCACTGGCTCTTTTTCTTCCTTCAGATAAATATGAACATTGATGATATACACACAGAGTCTTCTCTTCCCCATTATATATTTAAGGGGACGTATATATGAAATATATTTTTATATACATAATCATGAAATCTAACTTGAGTGAACTGCAAATATTTCCGATACTTCCATGATTGCTTCTGTTTTTTTTTTTCTTTACACCTGGGACTGGAGTTGTTTACTAACATGGGTTCCAGTTCAGTAGAGATTTCTTAATTCTATGGCTTTATTGAATGAATGTTTAAATTATTTAAACTAGAAAACAAAGGCAGTGCGTGGCTGTTTTTCTGCACATAATCAAAAATGCCCATTTTCCTGTCTAGGTTAAGTGTGAGTAAGGGAAGTGAATTAAAAGGAATTAGAATGTGGAGGGACTTCAAAGGAATCTGCAGGAGAGCCCCTCTGCAAGGGTAGGTAGTTTTGCTGTTTATCTTCTGGATGCTTTATTTTGAAGGGTGTATTGTAAAGCTTCAGAATATCCTTCATAAATAAGTGTTTTTACTTGAAAATTATCATTCCTTTCATATTCTGATTTAGTACCTTCAGAACAGGAATGAACTCTGGGAGAAACAGAAATAAGCATACATTATAACACAGTATTACCCAGCGGCCCAGCATTACGTAGGGCTGCATTTATTATGCTCTGTGTACACAGTAGCTGGAAAACATGATGCATGTTTTCCCGTGTAACAATTCTGCATAAGCCAATTGGATCACCTCTGTTGTGCTTTGAAGATACCAGTCCCACATCTGCATGTTGAATGCTAATAACATCTGAAGATAGGTTTTTTTCATATCATTTTTCTAATCTCCTAAAAGAGGCAAGTGGTTGTCAGCCTGCACAGGTGATTACAATACATCTTATTAGGCAGTCCTGCCCTAACAGGTAGCAGTGGCACACCTGGAAGTGAGGAACACCTGAAATAAACATTAAATTAAAAAAATACTAATACAGTATTTGTCTTCTGCTTCAAATGTTGGACCAGATAATAGGTTTCTTTCAACTGACCTCGAGTATGGAATGTGTTGTTTTTTCTGAAAATGGAAATGAACTCATAAGGATATTAGCAAGTGCAAGTAAGAGGCCTTGTCCTCAAATGCTGGTTTGATGTTGCTTTTTATTATGACTGACAAGTCAGTACCTGTGCTGCTTCTTCCTACCCACAGTTGTGTCTCCTAAATGCTCCCTTATGGAATGGAGGCTTCAGTGTCCTGTCACAAATGAAGATTTCTTCAAGGACAGATCTTCCCAAGTGCAAGGCTTATAGAAACTTACGTACTTCCAAATCAAAGTCAGATGTATGCCCCTGAAGTCAAGCTTTTCAAATAGAGAACTTTCTCTGGCTTTAATTGATTTAATAACTACTCTGTACTTTGAAAACCGTGTGACCAAGTTGTGTCTAAAAACAGCAAGTGGGACAATTCTGTACATGTAAAAATGCCATTACTGTGCCTTTTTCTCTTACCTCTCGCAGGCTGAAGTCAACACAGTGTTGTTTTCCTGTGCTCATGTATTTTGTGGTAGCTGGAGAGGCCCAACATGTTGCTGGCAGGCTTCTTTTACATTACTGTATAGTAGATTAGCTGTGTGTGACAGCACATTGTCTCCTACCTCTCTGGGACTGGAAATTTCAGGAGGAGGCTGTGTGATAACGTAGCACAGCATTCATGGTATTATTTACAAAGAAATTTGTATTTGGGTTTAGTGAAACAACGTACCTGTGTAAGTGAAGAGCTTGGTTGTGATTCTGCTACTGTTTGTCACCAGCATTCCTTTGTTAAAAACCCTGCTGTCTTAAAGACGACGGTGCAGGTAAAGCATACAGACACTGCTGGATTTGCAAATTGGACAAGAATTTGTTCCTAGATATACAGATAGCACGTGTTAATGAACACTAGTTCATCTTTACACAAAAAAGTTTGAAAATCTGAGTCATCTCATGATGATCTCTCTTTAGGCTTTTGAGCCTAAATTCAATTTACTGCTGGTAGTCAACAGATTATAAGATGTAGGGTGGTATGTGACTTGTATTCCAATAAGAAGTAACCAAGTTAGTTAGGTTTGCCTAAGTTTAATACTTCATTTGGCCCTTGCAGTGTTGCTTTCTAACGTGCATTCGATTTACATGATTTTGTAGAGAAACACAGATCCAGAATGCAGACAAGTCTACTTCTGAATAGAATTTGAAGAATGTTACAGGGTAGATGGCAACTTTTATTTGAGGATGCAGTGACTTGGGTGATAATGTAAAGCTGAAGAGCCACCAGAAGGAAGATCCCTTTGATGATGATGGATAGAGGTGAAAACAGTTGGAAGAGCCCCTGCTTGCTTTCAGCTTTCCTTGGGCCACTTTTCAGATGTGGATGCATTCATGCAAGTCTGCACGGCATGAAACTGAGTTAATCCAGGTCTGTGGAGAAGCAGAACATAGAACAACAAATATCCCATGTTGGAAGTGACCTACAAGGATCACTGAGTCCAACTCCTGGCTCTGTGCAGCTCCTTCTAGAACAGCTGTGGGAAGAACAAATTTAAATATATTCTTTTCCCTCTCCCATAGTAGTGGATCACATCTTCCCTCTTCTTTTCAGTTTAATTAGATCAGGAGTAGATAATCTGCTGGATGCAGTCCCTTACACCTGGTACTGTACAGGGGAAACTCCCCGTGTTCCAAGAGGATTACCACAAACTAGACTGTAGTGGCAGGAGGGCCCATAAACCTATGGCAGGGGCACTGAGGAGGAACTTTATCGTAAGTCTGGAATCTAGAAGAAATTTCCATTAAATACATACACAGTCTGTCACAATCTCTTACAAATAGGATGTGGAGCCCTGGCTTGCAATAACAAGCCAGTCATACACTGTAAGAACTACCACTGGCACATCTTCTGTGTCACATCTTTAAAGTGTTTAAAAAAAAAAAAAAAAAAAACTTAATATCAGTCTAACACAATTCTCAAAAGTATGCTTTAAAAACTATTCTAGAGTCTGTCCCCTTTCAACTTGCTGGCTCTGTCTGTATAAAGCAGACAGAATATTGATGCTAGGGAAGGTATGGGTTTGTTACATCTGTTGACATACTTTCAAGTGAAATGTTACTGCAGACAAAGCACTGTGAGGCTTTAGCTTGCTGGTGAAGGTAAAACCCAACCCCTAGCAGCCCAATTCCACTGGAGAAGGAACTGAGCTTTGTGAGTACACCTTCACAAAGGAGAGTACTTCATGAGTTATATGGTGAAGAGGCTCTGTCTTCTGTCCATCCCTTCTACAGAATCCTGAGGAACATCCTTCCTCCCAGCAGGCTCCTTCTGACCAGAACTATCTCCAAGAGGGAGCACAGAAGCCCTTTCAAAAGCAGCTGCTGTTGGTTCCAGGATGGCACATAGAAAGCCAGCCATATGCATAACCAGAGTCCACATGTCAACAACAACAAAAACCCATTAAAAAAAAAGTGAAATACCTTCCTTCCTTCACCCTCCCCTTAAAAAGAACATTGGGGCTCAATCTTTGGGTTCTCAAACTATGAATTCTAAATTTCATTCTAAGATGAGAATGGAAAAAATGAACAGAGGTGCTGGGAAAAGCACTGAGAAAAGCAGTTTCACTTATCTGATTCAGAAGCCTACAGTTACAGTGATCTGCAAGTGCACTGGAAGGGGGTACACCTTTTGACTTGTGACACCCAGATGTACTGATTTAGCTTTAAAAGCTTGAATGGAAGAAGGTGACTTTCACTAAACAGCAGGGGAAGTAAGAACAAAACATGTCACTTCCTCAGCAAAAGTTTTATGTATTAGACAGTGTATTTCTTTTAGTTTAAAAATATTCTAACACGCAGATGGGGGAAATAGGGCTGTCTCCTCTGCACCAGCACAATGCTATGCTGACCCCATTAGCTGTTATTAGTTTGTAGAGAACATACACCAGTTTTACACCCAGCTACAGGGTATCCAAAGCAGCCTTAATCAGAGATTTCTCCAGCCTCTCACAGAAGAGGTAGCTGGGTTTGCTCTGATTTTTAATAACCTGCATTATGACCACACATGCCTTCATGCCTGGGAAGTGCCACAGCCAGCATAAAGCATCAGGGAGCAGTTTGACAGACAAAACTGCCACAAAGTTTCAGATTGAAACTGACCTCTTTAGTGCTGCAAGCATCGTTTGGAGATGCAGAACAGGAATAAACCTGATTCAATTCACTGGAAATAGAAAAGAGTGCATCTGTGGAGGATTGGGCATCCCTGAAGCTTCAGGCATCCAACATCCCCCCTTTCAAATTTGGTGTGTTGGCTCCACTTCTGATACTGAATTGCTAATAAAATTAATTAGAAGCGTCATAAGTTGGTCACCCTCAGAGTATTTCTGCGTGAAGCAGCCATTAATTATTCTGATGAGAACTGTCTGCCTTTCTATTTATAGGCTGGCCATGGGCAACGCTGACTGTTCTCAGCTTGCTGTACTGCTACGCTCACGTTGGCATCGAATGGGAGCATTCGTACGCTGTGACCCAGGAGTGACGCAGAGCCACGAGTCCTGGACCAGCTTACAGGGTGGGGGCTTTTCTACACCGGACAACTCATCTGCAGGAGAACGTGCCAGACCGCATCAACGTGCGAGAGCTAAAAGCTCATTACACTCATTCTGGATTGTGAATTCAGTAATCTAAGCAGAAACACTGACGAACTACAGTACAGAGTGAAGAGACCTTATCAAGTGATTTGATTTATGTTGCTTTTGTAAAACAGTGACACTCATGTTTGCTGCCATTTTGACATACTGAAAAACTCTTTTTTTTTTTTTCCTACACTGTACAATTCAGACAAACTCCAGTCTCTCAGCTGCTGTCCAGGGGCACCCAGGGCCATGCCCTGCACTTACATTACTCCGTGTCCAGCAGGATGCTCATCAGTTCTTTTTGATTTCTTTCTGATTTAAGGGAGAACATTACTGATGTTCTCTCTGGTTGCAGTTTTTCCATCCATAAAGCACTTTTCTACCTACTTACTGTAGCAAAGTCTGCTTTTCTCAATTTCTTTTTTTTTTTTTTTTGTAGTTTTAGGAATGTAGTTTTTGTTTATTAAAAAGATGAAGCTAGGCCTTTTCTTGATAAATAAACCAACATCTTGTCTTTTTAATCTCACGTGACCTTACTGCTCCTTGGTCTTTAAATGCTCTCTGCCTTGGGTTAGACTAAAACACAGAGTATTACCTTTGTGATGGAGCAAATCCCACTTGCACAGGAACTGTGGAGTTCGCCTCTTGTGCTTCTCTGCCATGAAAGGAGGTAACCCAGGGGCTGGCTGGCAAGTCTGCTTCATTCTCTTTGAACAGGCACTCAGCTCCTGCAAAATTAAAGATTCACTAGCTTTAAAGCTTTTAAGAGCTTTAAAAATAACACAAAACTAAACAGAATTGTCCATTACAATGGCACTCAGTTAACCAGAGCTCTGTGTTCTTTATCCAGAGTGAGACCTGGTATAGCAGGTCTTTGCCAAAGCACAAGGCTGCCAAGAGGTGGAAAAGCTCTGCTTGCCATGGTTTGAAGCATCAACACTGTGAGACTGCTGTGGCATGCACTGTCTCCCAACAGGGAGGAGATCTTACCCATGTCTGGTATGAGGCACATCTCCCAGTCAGTTCCTTTTTAAATAGATATTGAAGAGCAACATGCCCTACAGTCATGTGGGCTACGCTTTCCTTTAGGCACAACAAAAGCCTCCAACCCCAAGGAGAGCTGTTGCTGAGAGCAGCTAACTGCTCCCGAAGCAGCAAAACTGCTGCATGACCTGTGCCCCCAGAAGCCATCTGAGCCATCTCAGTGTCCTGCTGTCCATTGCACATGCAGCTCTGGACTAGTCTGATCAAGATCATCCCTTCAACAAGAAACTGACACAGGGTTCAGCCTGGTGCCTGCATTTAAACAATGTCTCTCCTGCTCAGAAGTACAGCAGACGCTTCATTCATGCCTGAAGAAATAAGGGTAAAGGCTTCAGTTCCCTGCCCATCCAGACACTCAGCCATCCTCAGCCCTTTATTTTTAGGGAAGGATTTTTACACCACACAAATGCAGCGTGAAATCCCTTTCTAGGAAATACCATTGAATATAAGGCTTACCATATATGCTGCCTCAGCAGAGGGATGTCTAGCATAAATCTAGACTGATTTATGGTAAGCAAACCCTTCTTCTTTTTCTGGAAGGGTGGGAAATTGGCCTCCATTTTGGAGTAGAACTGAGCTAAGACCAAGACCCTCCTGAAACTTTTTTCAAACTTTGTAATTAAGTGCAATTAGCATTGAATTGAAAAGTCACGAGTCTGTTCTTCAGCCTGATCGATTACCATTACTGCATGAAATGAGGGGCTACTAAGTGATGAGATTCTAATTTGTATGCTTGCAATATGCTCTACTCCAATATGAAAATGGCCATGACGGTCATCCAGACTGTGCTTCTTTCTGAACCACAATTGTTTTTTTAGTATTCTTTTTTCAGTGCTTTGTAATGTTTCCTAATTTTGTATTCTCTCTTCAAAAATAAAGCTCAAACTGACAGTTGGCTTGAGAACTGTATCTTTGGAAGCTACAGGTTTGGTGTAAGAAATCTAAGTGCTTCACTGCCATTTAGGAACACTCCTATGCACTAGAAGCCTGCAGCGCGTGCAGTGCAAACTGCCCATGTTTATCTCTCTCACGCACATATGGAACGCAATCCCTAATGGAACAAGTTTAAAAACAAAACAAAACACAAATACACTTACAGATTAGCTAAGGTGACACACAAAGCTTCTTGTGAATGGCCACCAAGAGAGAGATTCAAGCAAAATGACCACTTCCCACAGCTGCCATCCTGGCCCACAGTCAGAAGCATGAAGTACTGTTAGCAACATTTAAGAAATAGATACTACTTCTCATAGTTCACATATGTATCATAAAAGATAGAGATTTCCGTCACTCCCATCTTTCCAGAGGTTCTCTTTCCTGCTACTCTGAAATATTTATTTTAAGAAAAATAGCCCACTCACAAAGTTTCTGATCCATCCTCCTTGCAGAGTGCTGGTAGGCAAGGCATGGGGCTCTGTGAAGGATGCCTGAAGCGCTTCAAATGCACGCAGTCAGCTGTACCTGCAGCTTGGAGACGCTCCTCACGTGACCTGGGCCAGAAGTGCCATCCTCCAGGCAAATCCTCTGCGACGGTCCCAGTGAGGTGGAGGTGGCAGAGCCTGCAACAAGACATAAGGACCTCAGTTACCTAAGGAAAAAAGCAGGTTGATAGGAGGAGATGATTTCCAGACGCTAAGGAAAAGCTGGCTAAGGGCCCTAGGAAACAGTGGACAGAGACAAATTTCCAAAGTCAGAATTGGCTGTTTTGAACCAAAGGAGAGGCAACTGCAGTCCAGAGAATGCAGCACTGCTGCTGGTGGCCCCCAGAGGGGCAGGACATCTCTGACTGAGAACAAAAGGTGGTGGCTGGGTAACAGCCAGGCCTGAAGGCCTCATGCCTACTGTCAAATCCAGTTTATAAGGGATGCTGAAAAGCACACCAGCCAGCCAGCATAGCATAGCATAGCATGCTTTAATACAGGGCTTTAAAAGCCACCAGGAAGCTGTAGCCATCCAGCCACACATGCACGTGTTCATCCCCTAACCCCCTGCTCAGTTATCAAAACGCTCACAGCCATAATTATTACTGGGGATTGCTTACGCTAAGTGGCTCTTTCTTTAATTCTGCACTGACTGGAGGACAAGCGAGGCTTTGCTCACATATCCCTTTCACATCTCAGCGCTGAAAGCAGATTAGTCGGCATAACCAGCTTACCACAGGTCATAAGAAAAACAGCTTAACTATGGGAACCTGCAGCAATTTTCTTATTAGTCATAGCAGCAGCACACCGCCTCCCACCTCCTGCATGCCTGCTTTGTTTCCTCCTAAGCTGCTGCAGCTCCCGCTGGCTGTGAGGAGCCGGACCTCCTTAGCACACCAGCACCATTTTCCTCCAGGAGCTGTATGAGTGAGGGGATTGCTATGCACCCTGCATCGCAGCCGCTGCCTGCGCTTCACCGTCCCCCCCCCTCGCAGAGCAGCTCTGCCTGGTAGTGCTGTGCAAAACACTCTCCCTGCCCATGGCCACTTGTTAGTCAAGTCATATATTTTAATGCAGGAGGAATAGCTGAAAGAGTGCTTTCCATACAGCCTGTGAAGCGTTCTGAGGCTGAGGTCTTTGAGGAATGAGGGACAACCTGCACAGCAGTAGATCTTTGCTTGTACTGAGAGCCCCCTGAGACTGCCCTGCTGATCCCCTCAGACCAGGGCACTTGGGGCACTAAAATGGAAAGGGTGAAGCCAACTGCTCCACGTGAGTTTCCAGCAATCAGCAAACGCGATAGCATGATGCATGGCTCCTGCTAAGGGCTGCTGACACCAATATGTGACACAGTCACACACATGCATCAGCTGTGCCTGAGCACACTCCAGACCTTGGAGCATGTCAGCTCCATACATGAGTGGGTAGAGGATGCCACCAATGCCCAGAACAAAAGGAAAAGCAAAAGCCTAATGGATCTGATCCATATATTTCAGGTTCTGTGAAAGAGTCTGAGCCATATGGACTCAAGGCCTGGCCTGCAGGCAGCCCAAGACTCTTCTCCACCACATCCCTCAGTGCCACATCTCCACATTTCTTAAACACCTCCAGGGACGATGATTCCACCACCTCCCTAGGCAGCCCATGCCAGTGCCTCACTGCTCTTTCTAAGAGGAAATGTTTCCTAATATCCAACCCAAACTTCCACTGGCACAACTTCAGGCCATTCTCTCTCGTCTTATTGCTGTTACCCAGGAGAAGAGGCCGACTCCTCACAGACCTAGCAGGCTACAACACTTTTCATCCTATTCGGGTCTAAGTATAAATAATCCAAAGTATTGGTGTGCCAGCTCCTTTCAGAAAAGGGTCAGACAAAATGGGACTCCTGTAGCACATGGATTCACAAACAACACTCAGCACACAGAAACACATCGCTACCTGCAGGGATTTAAGAGCAGCTCTGCATACGGTTGGGCAGCTGAAGTGAATCACTGCTGACAGGTACGTCATCCAACCACTGAAAAATTAAAGCTTACTGAAGAAATAATGCAGAGACATGACTTTGGTTATGACCTGTGAAGTCTGAATTGTACCACCACTTCCTCTACAGATACTTTGTGACAGAATTAATTAACTGTTACGGACCACAGAACTGATAGCCCTGCATTACTGCCTTGGAGCATCTAAATTACATGGCAAAAATAGAACAACTAGAAACACTAGAATATTTGAAGACCAGAAATGTCCACGTTGTTGATGAAGGAATTTAAAAGAAAAGTCCTTTGGAAAGAAGTGGCAGGTAACTTTTTCAGACTGCTGCTGGAAGGGTTAAGGTTGCTCTAAGGATTTGGTTATATGGGACCATTACACAGAATCACAGAATCACCCGGGTTGGAAGGGACCTCAAGGATCATGTAGTTCCAACCCCCCTGCCTAGCAGGGCCACCAAACATACACATTCAGATCAGGTTGCCCAGGACCCCGTCCAACCTGGCCTTAAACACGTCCAAGGACGGGGCATCCACAACCTCCCTGGGCAGCCCGTTCCAGGGCCTAACCACTCTCCTTGTAAAGAACTTCCCCCTAACATCCAACCTAAATCTTCCCTCCTTCAACTTGGATCCATTTCCCCTAGTCCTGCTATTGTCAGCCCTTTTGAAGAGTTTACTCCCCTCCTGGGTGTAGGTTCCCTTCAGGTATTGATAGGCTGCCATGAGGTCACCCCGCAGCCTTCTCTTCTCCAGGCTGAACAAGCCCAACTCCCTCAGCCTGTCCTCATAGGGGAGGTGCTCCAGCCCCCTGATCATCTTAGTCGCCCTCCTCTGGACCCTTTCCAAAATCTCTATGTCTTTCTTGTACTGAGGGCTCCACACCTGGACGCAGTACTCCAGATGGGGCCTCACAAGAGCCGAGTAGAGAGGGACAATCACCTCCCTGTCCCTGCTGACCACCCCTCTCCTGATGGAGCCCAGGATCCCATTTGCCTTTCAAGCTGCCAGAGCGCACTGCTGGCTCATGTTCAGTCTCTCATCCATCAGGACCCCCAGGTCCTTCTCTGCCGAGCTGCTCTCAAGGACCGCTCCTCCCAGCCTGTACAGGTGCCTGGGGTTCTTCCGGCCCAAATGCAAAACCTTGCACTTTGCCGTGTTGAACCTCATCAGGTTCACCCGAGCCCAGCCCTCCAGCCTGTCGAGGTCCCTCTGAATGGCATCCCTTCCTTCCACCGTATCAACCGCACCACTCAGCTTGGTGTTGTCAGCAAACTTGCTGAGGGTGCACTCAATTCCCTCATCGATGTCATTAATAAAGATGTTAAAGAGCACCGGTCCCAAGACAGACCCTTGGGGGACACCACTTGTTACCGGCCTCCACCTGGACATAGAGCCATTGACCACCACCCTCTGTCTGCGGCCTTTCAACCAATTGCTTATCCATCGGGTCGTCCACCCATCAAATCCACTTCCCTCCAATTTGGAGATGAGGATGTGGTGGGGGACCATGTCAAAGGCCTTGCTCAGGTCCAGGTAAATGACATCGGTCGCCTTCCCTTTGTCCACCAATGCCGTCACTCCATCATAGAAGGCCACAAGATTAGTTAGGCATGACCTTCCTTTGGTGAAGCCGTGCTGGCTGTCTCGGATCACATGCTCATTCTTTATGTGACCGAGCATGTTGTCCAGGAGGATCTGTTCCATGATCTTCCCAGGCACGGAGGTGAGACTCACCGGCCTGTAGTTCCCCGGGTCCTCCCTGCTCCCCTTCTTGTATATGGGAGTGACATGACCCTTCCTCCAGTCGTTCGGGACCTCACCTGACAGCCACGACTTCTCAAATATGATGGAGAGCGGCTCGGCAACCACCTCAGTCAGCTCCTTCAGGACCCTGGGATGCACGCCATCCGGCCCCAAAGACTTGTATTCATTCAGTCTAAGGAGGCACTCTCGGACTTGCTCTGCCCTTACAGTGGGGAGGGATTTACCTCCTTGGTCCCCACATAGAGGTTTGGGGATGCAGGGTTCAGGGACGTGAAAAAGACTAGAATCCTGGCCACCAGTGAAGACCGAGGTGAAGAACTCATTCAGCACCTCAGCTTTCTCTTCATCTGTTGAAGCCAGTTCTCCTTTTAAATTTACCAAAGTAGGTACGCCCGTTTTGGCCTGTCTCTTCTGGGCAATGTACCTGTAGAAGGTTTTCTTATTGTTTTTCACGTCCCTTGCCAAGTTCAGTTCTGCCTGCGCCAATACACATTTATGAGACAGTTCTTTCAATGATGTTACTGCTAACTTATAGTTTCAGATTTCTTTCTTCTTGTGGTAGTTTTGTGCTGAGATGGCTAATAATTTGCTCCTTTTGTCACATCTCTGTTTCGGTCTACTGCTGCAATCCTCCCTCTGCCTCACTGCCTGCCTTAAGGCCCAGTATTGGGCCCCAGACTCCAACACCAGGCAGCAGCAGCACAACCCAGCTCAGCCAGGGTTCTGCAGACCCATCATGAATGCTGACATGAAAAGCAAAAGCACAGGGGAAGAGACTATGGGGAAAACCAAGTACAGAACTTGGAGACCCTTCAGCACAAGGGCCTCCGACTGCATCCCTTCTGGCCCAGAAGCAAAAGCAATGGTTCCAGGAACCTAAGCATCCTGAAGCTCAAATCCTGTCAGCCAAGACATCCTTTCAACCACACCTGGCATGCCATCACTGGTGCTTCTGGCCAGCTTTTTGCAGCCTTCGCTCAGGTTATTTGTCAGACTTCCTCACTCTGACCAAATCCTGCCAAATGCTGCCCATTGAACCTAAGACACCTAAAATCTTCTTGAGTCCCTCTTTCCTTGAGTGGTTACGCCAATAATCACTGACACAAGAACAATTGCAGGTTAAGTACAAACTCTGACACATGAGGATCAAAAAGTGTGAAAATCATTCAAAATAGAATGTTGCTTCTCTCCACTCACCCACACCTGGTAGTCACCACTACCACCAGTCAAAAACTCTAAATGACACTGTTCATTGCTGCAGTGACAACAAACATGCACAACTCCTCACAACCCCACTCATAGGAAAGCTCTGTGGGGAAAGCATCATTGAGACTTCCCAATCAGTACAGAATTCCACCAGGATCCCACTGTTTAATCACCAGGAGTTGCAAGCAAAGGGTATAATGATCCACATCCCCACTATCCCGAAAGCCTGCCCCTAAAGCCATCCATGTATGTTGTAGGGAATCTGGACACTCCACTCCACCAGGAAGCTGCATTAGCAGCTTAGAGGGCAGCTGCAGCTCATTACAACCCCCAGCCCAACCACCCCCACGCAGACGGTCCTGCTTTCTCCAATCCCAGTGCTTTCCTTACATCAGCTGCTCTGCTCTTTCCCTGCTGCCTGCCCCACTGATGGGTTTTAGAGGCTGCACTCTCACTCAACGCTCTTCTCTTTTTTCAGATGCTCCTCTGACACACAGCTAGATTTCCTCCACAACCAATTTTCCTGGACAAAGAAAATGAAGCACATTCAATCTGCCAGGAGAGGTACCCCCCATGCTATGCTTTTGCTACATTTTATGCTTCTTCCATATACTGCCGTGACCTTCATTCCTCCTCACACCCAGTCACCTGCACAATGTCAGAGCAAACAGCCTCTCTAGCTGCTCCAAGCACCCGACTGCTTTATTTGCTGCTCACGAATGCAACATGACCACACCAATTTTGCAGAGCCATTTACAATTCTTGTAGCCTGAACTGTAATTTCATGCAGTGGTTCGCACACACTTTCTGCACACTTTCCTAATGGGTGCTTTTTTCAATTTAGCTTTCAGCTGAGCTGTTTCAGTTTCCATTTCTGTCTCCACACTTCCTGTAGCCAGGTTCAATATGGCTGCATGTGCAACGTTACCACGCTGGAGGAAAACCAAACAAATAATTTATGTTGGCTTGAGGCTACATACAGATCAGCTTAACTCTCTTGACTATCCTTATGCCACAGCTGACAATTTTTGATAATCCTTCCCGTTATCATTGTTTCTTTCTAAAATACCTTCTGCTTAACTGTAAAACTCAACAGAAAATTCACGGGGACAGAAACCAGCATGCCTCTCTCACTGTAAGGAAAACTGTGCAAGTGATGCAAGCAAAAGAAGTTAAAAAATAATAAAATAAAAGGAACACAGCAGAGGACAAGAGCTGATCACATCAGAAGTAAGCTCCCCAAGGCTGCTTCTGCACTCATTACCTACATCTCTATCAGGTGGGATTTCTAGGAGTAAAAGCTGAGGATTTGCCATTAACAAGTTCAGCTGTTTTGAAACTAAACCTGTGCCATGGGATGACTGAAATTTTAATGTAGCCATGCTGCACAAGGACTCAAACTCAACTGTAATAAAGAAGGGAGAACAAGGATAGAAAAGGAAAGGCGATTTAAAAAGAAAACAATCTGTACAGCATATTGTGCACAAGCACCTTCCTGTCTGCTGCTGACAGACACAGTCAGCCTTCTCCAGATCTCTTCCCCCCCCTCCCCCCTTACTGTTCTTCAGGAACAGCACAGGTTATTTTCCCAGTCCCTCCATACCATCACACAGGTCACATACCCCTACACTAGGCACCCATTGCAAACTAAACCCCTCACACCACTGGCAGAAACAAACACCATAGCAAGACTGCATCCTTCTCAGCCCAGTGGGACAAACAGCCCTACCTCAGAGGCAACTGCTCCTGCTGCCAAGGGAAGTGAGCACCACAGTGAGCACCATGAGGCCAAGAGATCTCTCTCCTGGCACAAAGTCCCTCCTGCTAGAGGTGGGCTGACAAAACCCTCACAAATTTCAACAAGAAGATTGTCATCCTGCACCTCAGGAAGAACACGCCCATGCTGGGGGACACCCATCTGGAAAGCAGCCTGGCAGAAAAGACCTGGAGATCCTGGTGACCACAGAACTGAACATGACCCATCAGTGTGCCTTGCCACTAAGCAGGATAATGGTCTTGGCTGCATTAGGCAAAACATTGCCAGCAGGTCAAGAGAAGTGCTCCCTCCTCTCCACTCAGCATTGGCAAGGCCACACCTCAGATACCACATCCAGTTCTGGGCCCAACAATACAAAACAGGTACAGACATATTGGAGAATTTAAGATATGCCCACTTACCTTTGATCAAGGGACTGCAGCTCTTCCCCGATGAGGAAGGGACTGGGGCTGCTCAGCTGGGAGAGAAGGCTCAGAGGAACACCATCAGTGCATCATCCATTGCTCCTAGAGAGAATTGTGCAAAGAGGACAGAGCCAGGCTGTTCTCTCTGGTGCCCAGTGGCAGACAGTAGTTTCCTCTGAACACCAGAAAGCACTTCAGTGCTTCATAGGTCGCCAGAGCACTAGCACAAAACTGCCCAGAGACTGTGAAGCCTCCTCCTTAGAGATACTCAGAAGCTGCCTGGACAGGCTGCTCTGAATGTCTTAATGCAAGCAGGGGCTGGGCTACAAATATCCCAAGATCCCCACCAGCCTCAGCTGTGGTGCTGTGATTATGCCCAGGTGCAGTGAACGAGGTACAGGGCTGGGCTGGGGCCCAGGCCTGCCCTGCTCAGCAGCTGTGCCCACCAGGCTGGGGCTGAGTCAGAAAGTGAACCTTCCCACCTTTCAAGTGGGAACTTGAAAACACAGATTAGGGCAAAATTGCTTTCTGTGTTAAGTCAAGCTCACAATGCCACCAGGGAGGCTGCTGAGAATGCACGAGGAGCTTGAACAAAGAGTAAAACGGAGTGTTCAGAGAATGGGAACAACAGCTTTTGGAGACCTCAAAATAAAATTAAAATTAAAAGTACCTACCTTCACTCCGGAAATTTTCCCCGTTCTAGCAATTACAGGGAACGCATAATAACTTTAGACAAAATAAAGCAGAGACTTTCACATTGGTCATTGAGCAATATCAACAACTGAAGGTCCTGTCACAGCGCACTCTGCAGTGGATGGATGCAGGGACGCTGGTAAAAATAGCTCCTCCTTGAGCTCCTCGGCTGCTCCTGGTACAGTTTAGCCTCAGCTCTGCAGCCTGAAAGCTTACATCTTATTGCTGTCCTTTTGAAGATTAGGTTCCCAATCTCATGAAGCGTGAGGAGGCGACAGGCTAAGATCATGCTTTGGAGTACGAAGCACAAACACGGCTGCAAAATTCACAGGCTGAAGTCCTGAAGAGTAAAACTTTACATTCACGTCCAGATCAGTTGCTGGCCCACAGGAGCAGTGATTTTAGTATGGATTTGCAGACAGCTGGTCCAGATTGGAGTCCACCGTGCTTCAGAGAACACCTGAATCCACTTTACAGCAGCCCTGCACTTGTAAATCATGGTTGTACTGACACACAAAGAAGGTAGAATTCTGAGGAAACAACCTGAGCTGCTCACAAGTAAAATGGTAATATCAAACTTTTCTATCAACAGTGCTCTGGGTGCAGAACAGCAGCAACAAAATGGCAAGCCAGAATTCTAGAGACTAACTTAAAATCTCCTTGTTACTCTTAAAGTACATATTCAACCCATTAAAAAGCACACCAAAGCAATTATAATGTATAAAATAGTTTATTACTATAATAAATAAAATTAAACTTTTTTTTTTTTTACAAATATTATTTGTGCTTGTTTAAAAATGTTTAACAGGGATATCATTAATGTAGGTGGCTGCATTTGTAACTGAAACATTCCAAAACAGCGTGTATGTGCACACACACTATCTACTGGCAGCTGCTTTGCTGACCACAAAAATAGTATCTACTCGTTCTCTTTGTCTGATCATGCTTCATTGAACAAAGTGACAAATGCAAAGAAAAAGAAACAGGAATATTTGGTGGATTTTGGAAAGGATAAAACCAAGTGAAATACATTTAAAAGCTCCAAAGCGACTGCATTAACTGCATATCAATAAAGTGTCCATGCAGTGGTGGCTAAATACCGAAACGCAGACGGGTTTCCAACAGATGTACAAATATTGATTGTATGTAAGTACAATAATCTAACACATTCATTAGAAAACTCCATATTTCTTTATATAGCAGTTCATCCTGATACAAGATTATTGAATGTCTCTCATCTACAGCTGAAAGGATTCTTTTCCTATGTCAGTGGTCACACCTTCAGTGGGAGGAAAGGAAAAAGACATCCGCCTTTCAGAACAGCAAGTGAAAGCCCCAAACTGCTTTGCTGACATCAGGCATTTAAATCCAGTTATGGAGATGTTCTGGGATTACACATCAAATATGTTTACACGACACTCAACAATCAGCTCGGAACAAATTACGGCTGCAGGTAAATTCACAGTAGCATTGTTGCACTGTAAAATAAAGTCTTCAAAACAAACACTTTTGTGATAGGTCGGGCTTGGATCCCCAATAACACAAAAGTGTTCACACAATAATTATGTCTGTTTTGGAAAGGGAGAGGACTATTGGAGTAATTTATTATCCTAATAAGAAGGCATTAAGTGGAGAAATAAGCGTGATTACCAACAAGTGATTTCCATTAGATTTAGAAAGCTAATCAAAGTGCTTTATCTTTAGGCAACATTGTAAATACTACAGAACATGAAGAAGGAAAGAGAATGGAATCACAGTTTGAAATGTTTCACTTATGAAAGGGTCTTAAGGCTAAACGTTGGCTATATCTTATTGCAAAAAGCATTATTTTTATTTAGTTGAATCAATGCTTGCCACAACAATGTGGTCAAAAGTATGTCAGATTAGTGGATACAGTAATCTACTGTACTATACCTCACATTTCTGGAGCTTCCCCTGCCCAGAAGCCTCTCTCTAAAAGGTTTGTGTTAATAAATCAGAAGTGCGGCTGAAACACAGACATTGTTATTGCCAATACACACACAGGAGACTACAGAGAAAGGAAGAATTAAGTAGATGCTCTTCACCACCTAAGACCAGGCCGAGAAAGCAGAAGTGCAGTGACCAAGTGTCATGTGAGAAGGACAGGCTCAGCACCTTGAGACAGCCCCCAGTGCCAGGAAAAAGAAACCCTCCTGTTCCACAGTCCCTCCTGCAGGAGAAGCCAGGAGAGGCAATACCAGGGCACCTTGGCTTCAGAGGTACTGTGAGCAAGCAAGAAACAGTGGCTTACAAGCTGTTTTCCCACCAGCTATGATACAGCATTTTTCCAATTTCACATACATTTCTGGTTCCTGACTAACAGCACCTGCCAGATCTCTCAGTCACAACATCAGCCAAACTAACTGTACGAAGCTGAGACTGCTAGAGAAACCAGAGGTATGGCCTGAAAGTTCAACATTTAACAAACAAGATGCTAGCTAGCACATTCAGTGGGTAGCTAAGGGGAAGATTTTAGTTCCCTTCTTGAACTGTAATCATTAAGTGAAGGATGTGCTTTTACATAACAGAAATCAATCCATATTATCTATTGTCTATACACAGATACTATATATACGTGTGTATGTACACGCAACAGCACAAGCGTAGTCATACACATTGCTGTTTGTATAGCAAAGACAAATCGTAGTAAATTCTTTCACAGACTGTGATTGAAAAAATATCACCAGATATTCACAGTAAATATCTTGTTCAGTTCATTAAAGTGAAGTACTGTAGAAGCAGAACATCACCTTCGAAGCTGCTAAACAGGGTGTTCGCTGGGATTCAGAGCAGCACTGTGAAAGAGATTTAAAGCAAGAATGGTGTTTGTAAAAGTATACAGGTAATACCAGACAGAAGTCAATGTAGCTGAACATGGAAGGGATGAGGGTTGGTTTTTGCTTTTTAAATCCTGTGCTGCATATTGGTATTCTTGTTAAGTATGAACTTCTACAAGCTCCCTTTGTAACAACCCTGAGCCCCGGCTCTTCCTCTGAACTACCAGCTTTTGACTGAAATCTCATTCCACCATAGGGTAAAAATGGGACACAATCTCTTGCTCGTTAACATGGGTTGTTTAGCAGGTAGTTAAGTGGTAGAAGCACTGTGCCAGAACACAGAATGTAAACCGCTTCCTTGTTAAGGGGCAGAATCTCATGTTCAGAGGTCATCCATTTCTAAGATGAAAAATAATTTAAGTGAAAAGGCTTACCCAACACAAATAAAAGGAAAAGCTCACAAATAAAATGGAAGAATAAGTAACAATTACCGTGGATATGCGCACCACCCAGCCTTAGGCATCCAAGTTTAAGGCTCAATGGAGAAAGACAGGTTTGCAACATAGCTGCTTTCAGTCACTCCCTGAACAAATCTCTCTTCATCTGCTGAGCCTGGGCAATACACTACAGGTCCAAACTAGTCTGAGGGTCAAAGGAGTCCCATAGCAGACAAGGTTTCGCTTATTTACCACTAAGTAGCCCAGGGAATCCAAAGACCAAAGCTCATCCTAAATATTATATTTTTTCAGATTCCTTCACAATACATAGTGGTTACTAAGGGATGATGCAGTCTTCTACAACTAGCTTTAGTACCTGCCAGTTCATGAAATCATAATAAAATGGGTCTGACTTGTTAGAGCTGTGCAAATCTCAGTGACATTGCCCACTTCAGTGCTGACCTGGAGCAGATGCCTTGAAGGTGTCATTGGAAGGAGTGCAAGTTCTTCTGGAGATTCATGACTGCAACAGAATCAAATTTGGCCATAATCTTCAGTGACATTACATTTTAAGTGTAATTCCAGAGTATATTACAATCTTTGAAAGCTATACGAGTGGATTATAACTGACTTTATAGGCTCTTAAAAAGGCCTCATAAAAGCCTTAAAAATGGACTCTGTGCTTCACCCAGCCCTGGCCATGGAGCACGTACCTGTGTTCCAAACTGAACTAAACTTCAGGCTGCACTTGGAGTGCCCTCAGAAATGGGGACTTTACTCACAGAACTGCGTGTGGTGATGCAAATAATTGCGAGGCTTCTAGGATTAACCCTGCCTTGACTCCAGGATTAGGCAATCAGCAACACCAGGAAAACCTTAAACATATCCCTGAGGACACATGAAAGATACCACTGAGAAACATTAACATGGACTCAGCAACAGAGGACTAGGTAACCTGCAACTGTGCATCTAATCCTACATCTGCACTGCAACACTTGAGACGTTAGGCACATACCTGGGGGGCAACAAACATTTCCCCTCTTACCTGTCTGGGATAAGCTAATTTCCATGTTTATCAGACTGCAGGTAGCTGGCTGCCAGCTGAGTTCAGCAAGACTTCCAGCCTTTCAAACATGTTACAAAGGAAACACAACGCTGATGAGTAATTTGCCAGAAAACTGGCACCAAGTGAACCGCTCAAACCCCTCTGCAACTCTGGGGCACTGATTACAAATACATGTATACTTGCAAACCTGTAGTTTATTTTTACCTAATTTCACTGCCCAACGAATTTACTGACCGAGGAGTTCGGAGAGGAAAAGCACGTAGTAATTCTAATCTGAAACTGCTGTTG